TCGATTTTTGCATGCATTGAAATTTAATTTGTATATTTTCTGTTCTGTTTTAAATTGCATATATATTTCAAGTAAAGTACTTAGGGTGGCCTCTCCCCAAGTTTTTTCATTTAAACTTATTTGGTTCCCTTTTTGGAAATAAAATTAAATTAAAAAAAAAAAAAAAAAAAAAAAAAAATATATATATATATATATATATATAGAGAGAGAGAGAGAGAGAGAGAGAGAGAATGAGAGAGAGAGAAAAGAGAAAGAAAGAGATTTCAACAATATGTAAACATTATCTTGCGTCACGGTTTCCATGACAACGGTTCATGGTTGGTTAACTTGATGTTGCTGTTGTGATGTTTTCTTTGTTGATGTCATTATGTTGATGTGATTGTGGTGTATTTCATTACAGAAACAATTACTCTAGCATTACATTACAATACAAATTCTTGTGTGTAAGTTACATTATTCAGTCCTTCCTTTGTGCCTGTGTGCGTTTCAATTTTCCGTATGTATTGTAAATTTTTTGGTTTTTGTGTGAGGATGATGATGGTGTGTGTGTGTGTGTATGTGTGTGTGTATGTGTGCGTGCGTGTGTGTGGCGTGTACGAGTGTATGTGAGCGTACACTACACGGTGCACTTTAACTTGCTATTAATAGCCGAACAAAACACATGTTTAAACGTCATGTTTTATAAATAAATATATTTTTCTATACAAAATTTTCGTCTATTTTCATTTTTCACTTTTACTGACTTTTTTGTTTCCGCTTTCATTCAATTTTTATGAAGTTTTTTTATGCAGTGTCTATTTTATACTCACACGCCACGCACGCATAAACGCGCACATGTAAACACACACACACACACACACATACACACGCGTGTAATTTGTTGAAAAAACAAGTGACGCAATTTAGCATCAATAAAATATTTAAATATAGAAACATCATGTTGATAAACACACACACACACACACACACACATGCGAAAAGACAAACACACACTTACATCTACACACACAAACACACACACGCACACGAACGCACGAGTAAAAAACTTGTACATACCAGTCTAAATGAAAACACTTATGCGTACGTGAAAAAACGATGGAGACACATAAACGCATTCAGTACACAAATAAAAAGAAGGCTAGAATGAAGGAAAGAAACAGAAAGAAAGAGACAGAAAAGGAGAGAGAAAAGATATACAAACAAACATACAGACAAATAAAAATAAATACTCAAACGTACGCGCAAACTTCCACGCACATATCGATTAATTAACGATTCCCCATTGCGGTTGTCAACGTAAACTCTTGCGCCAAACAATGCATGGAACGCATGCCCCCCCCCCTCCGCTGTAGTACAAATACGAAATACCTTAAACGAAATACCTAGCTAGGTATATTTATTATACATCACATAGATACATATACAAGCGTACATTGCATAGTTACATTTACACGTGTACACACATAGATATATTTACACTCGTATATTGCAGAGATACATTTACACGCGTATATTACAGAGATGCATATATAAATGTACATCACATAAATACCTATACACACGTACACGGTTGACAAATACAATAACACATACATTAGTATTTTTGGTGTTTAGTTGTATCCATCTATTTGAATATACTTGACCTGTATGTACAATTGTACATGATATTGATATGTTATCT